TTTGTCGCGCCACCCATTGGCGGGAAACACTATACTAAAATTCTAGCCGCCTAGTTTTTGTGGTTCTCGAGTTCAAAGTGCAGGACAAAATGTGGGACACACGCGCACACACACGCACACACACACATACGCACACATACACATACACAGACAACCCCGTGACAATCTGCTGTTACACAGCACAAAACGCATAAACAGAGAGGAAGATTACAGAAAGAGCGCCTCCTGCTCCCGCGTCCTTTTCGCGGCGGTGATAGTAGCCTCGGCGCTGATCGCCCATCTGTCGAGAATAATATGTGCCGCTGAGGCGCATGGTGCAACGCTTGCTGCTTCCATTGCGGGAGCCTCCGGAAATGCCTGCGCGGCGGCTGTCCTTGGAGTGTTGGCGCTGGTCAGACTGCTCGTTAAGCACTTCGCACATGAACTGCACCAGCGGCATGCGCACTTTGTAAAATACCGTGTGCGCCACTGCAAATTAAACCCAAAATGGAAAACAGCTTGGTGGGAAAAATGCACCGCGGGCATCCTGCGCTCAAAGGGTTCGGCGCCGTGAGTTCGATCCGATCACAGGCGCTCTTGTGAAAGGTAGGTTTTTAGCAGCTGAAATTAGCTGGTTAGCTGATCACTAGAGCTCAAATAAGTTTTCAAGATTTCAAATCATAGCACTGCTACTGCCACAACTGACAAGGATTTTCAGGCCTGAGAGTACTTGTCAGTTATCAAAAGAACTGCACGTTGATTTTTGACCTGTACACTCCTAGGTGATCGAGAACTTTCTGGTCTGGAAGTCAGAAAGTTCACCAGTTGATAGAAATATAAATTAGTTTTAATATCCCTTGCTTACATACAAATACAAAAAAGTTTTACAAAAACTGGTATAACTCATTGTTTAAGCTTTGGAGTGATTAGGTGGGAACACTGACCGTCGACGTTGAGCAGTGGTTTCCAGCCGTCGGCCACATGAGCAGATGAAAAAATGCCCGTCCACATTTCCTTGCCGCCTTCAAGATCCAGCGCAAAAGCGCTACCGTTCACTGGCATACGATAGCTCGACGACTTGTACACGGCGAAATTCATAGAATTGCTGGACAGAAAACAAATTCAGATTAAACGTTAATGGTAAAACGAATTCAATGAGATGGGGTTGATGAGACCCGAGAATGGCTGGAAACTAAGGAATCAAGAGTTCCAGTGAAATACATTTCACAGATAGCTTTAGCTCGCAGATTTCATCA